TAAGAATTTTCAGGGCAAAATGGGTGTTTCTGTAGGTAGTTTTGAGAGTTTGGATCAATGAGAGGTTTTCCTTTTCCCTCAGTATTATTGAGGAACATTTGACAAATATAGTTGGATATATTTCAGAGATACTGCGTGATGATTTGATGCATTATATGCTGAAAAATAAATACTAAGATCCAGATAATTAACACATTCACTCACCCACACAGTTAATTCATATATGTGTGTGTGTGTTGAAAATTCTTAAAATCTCTCACCAGATTTCAAGTATACACTACTATATTAACCATATTCACCATGCTGTATATCAGATCCTCAGTACTTTCTAAAAAGTTTGTATCCTTTCACCTCCATCTTCCTAACTACCCCTCCCTCCATCCCCTGGCATTTTATTCTTTCTTTATATAAAACTGGCTTTTTAAAAGAGTCAACATATAAGTGATACCATACAGTATTTATCTGTCTCTGTCTGGTTTATTACATGTCCAACAGGTTCATCCATGTTGTCACAAAGAGAAAAGTTTTCTTTTTCCCTATGGCTGAGTAATGTTTTATTATTTTATATATGTATACATTTTCTTTATCAATTCATTTATCATATGGGCAATGTTCCCATATCTTATCTGTTATGAATAATACCTCAAGGAACATAGAACTTCAGACATTTCTTCGAGATACTGATTTCATTTCCTTTGGATAGATACCCAAGGATACAATTGTTGGATTATATAGCAGTCTATTTAAATTTTTTCTGAGAAAACTCCATACTGTTTTTCACAGTAGTGATATCTCATTGTGGGTTTGATTTGCAATTCCATGATGATTAGAAATAATGATTAGTGATTTCATTTGTCTTCTTTGGAAAAATATCTATTTAAATCTTTTGCCCATTTTTAATGGGACGATAATGAAGATAATGATGATGGTTATTGCTGTTGAGTGGTATGAGTTTCTTATATATTTGGATATTAATCATTTATTAGATATGTGGTTTGCAAATATTTTCTCCCATTTTGTAGATTGTTCAATCCACTGGTTGATTTCCTGGCCATGCAGAAGCTTTTTAATTAAATGTAGTCCCACTGGTTAATCTTTATTTTCGTTGTCTGTGCTCTTAGTATCATATGAAAAAAAATTATGGCCAAAACCAACATCAAGAACCTTTTCCCCATGTTTTCTGCTAGGAGTTTTATGGTGTCAGGCCTTATGTTTCATTCTTTAATCCATTTGGTGTTAACATTTGTGAGTGGTATAAGGTTGGGTCCAGTTTCATGCTTTTGCATGTGGTGATCCAGTTTTCCCAGCACCACTGGTTGAAGAGACTATTTTTCCATTGTGTATTCTTAGCTCTCTGTTGAAGGTCCATCGAAAATGTACGTGTGGATTTATTTCTGGGCTTACTATTCTGTTCAATCGATCTATGTATTTGTCTTTATGCCAGTAATACACTTCTTTAATTACTGTAGATTTTAATATATGTTATTTTTTATTGAAATACAGTAGAGGTACAATATTGTTAGTATCAGGTGTACTAACAGTCATTTGACATTTATCACATACATCATGAAATAATCACTACAGTAAGTCTAGTAGGCATCTGTTCCCATATAGTTGTTACAACGTGATCAACCATATTCCTTACACTTATATTACATTTCCATGGCATATTTATTTTATGACTGGAGATTGGTACCTCTTAATTCCCCTCACTTATTTTGCACCCTGGCCCCACTCTCCACCCTTCTGCAGCCACCCAGGTGTTCTCTGTATCTGAGTCTGTTTTTATTTTGGTTTTTTGTTTGATCTGTGAATATCGAAACATCCTTGCATTCCTGGGGTAAACCCCACTTGATTATGGTCAAGTGTGATTCTTTTGATGCATTGTTGAATTTGGTTTGCTAATATTTTGTTGGGAATTTTTGCATGTATGTTCATCAGTAATATTGGCCTATAATTCTCTTTTATGGAAGTGTTTTTGTCTGGTTTTTGTATCAAGGTGATGCTGGCCTTGTAGGATGGATGTGGTAGTATGCCCTCCTCTTCAATTTTTTGAAATAGTTTGAGAAGGATTGGCACTGACTTTTCTTTAAGTGCTTGGTAGCATTTACCTGTGGAGCCATCTGGACATTGACTTTTGTTTATTAGGGGTTTTTGAATCACTGATACTGGTAATTGTTGTTTATATTTTTTATTTCTTCCTAATTCAGTCTTCATGACTGAATGTTTCTAGGAATGTATGTGTTTCTTCTAGGCTTTCCATTTTATTGGTGTATAATTGTTCATAGTGATCTCTTATGATACTTTCTATTTCTGCAGTGTTGGTTGTAGCTTTCATTTTTATTACTGATTTTATTTATTTGGGTCTGCTCTCTTTTTTCTTGAGGATTCTTTCTTGATGGTTTTATGGATTTTTTCCTATGGTTTTTAATCTCTATTTTATTTATTTCTGCTCTTATCTTTTTTATTTCCTTTCTTTTAGTGATGTTTGAATTTGTCTGCTCTTTTTCTTGTTGCTTTAGGTAAAAGGTTATATTGTTTGAGATTTTGTTGGTTTGTTTGTTTCCTGAAGTAGGTTTGTATCACTATAAACTTCCCTCTTAGAACTTCTTTTGCTGCGAAGATTTTGGAAAGTTGTGTTTACATTTTTGTCTCCAGGTATATTTTTATTACCTCTTTGGCTATTTAGTAGCACATTATTTTAGACTCGATGTGGGATTTTTCCATGTTTTCTTGTAATTGATTTCTGGTATCATGTAATTATGGTTGGAAAATATATTTAATCTGATTTCACTTTTTTAATTTATTGAGACTTGTTTTGTGGCCTAGCATGAGATATATCCTGGAGAATGTGCCATGTGCATTTGAAACGAATGTGTATTCTGTTGCTTTTGGATTGAATGTTCTACATATATCTATTAATTCTGCCTGATCTAATGTTTCATTGAAGGCCAGTGTTTCCTTATTGATTTTTTGTCTGGATGATCTGTCCATTGAGGTAAGTGTGGTGTTAAAGTCCCCTACTATTATTGTGTTGCTGTCAATTTCTTTCTTTACGTTTGTTAATATTTGCTTTATGTATTTAATTGCTCCTATGATGGGTGCATAGACATTTACAATTGTTATATCTTAGTGTTGGATTTATCAATTTATCATTATACAATGTCCTTCTTTGTCACTTGTTATAACATTTGTTTTAGGGTCTATTTTATCTGATATGAGTATTGCTACTCTGGCTTTCTTTTGTTTCCATTTGCATGAAATACCTTTTTTCATTCTTCTTTTTCAGTCTGGGTGTCTCTCTAGATCTGAAATGAGTCTTGTACGCAGCATATATATGAGTCTTGTTTGTGTATCTATTCAGTGCCATTCTATGTCTTAGGATTGCAACATTCAGCTCATTAAAATTAAAGTAATTATTGATAGTTATATACTTATTGCCATTTTGTTCATTGTTTCCTGGTTGTTTTGGAGGGTTTTTTATTTATGGTTTCAATATGAACATACACCTCTGTGGCTAGGGAGTGTGGATCAATTAGGTAGAAGGAGTATCACCTTTATACTATTGTTAGATAGATTCTAACATACTTTAATAATATTTTAAATGATATGGCCCAAGTTCACAGTTAACTACTGGTTCTTTGTTTCTGTCATATTGCATAAATACATCAGCATTGAAAACTGCCCCACTGCAATATCACTTCTGAATCACTCTAGACAGAAGGATCCTGGGAAGCTTCTGGTGTTGTCATTATAACCAGAGTTACTAAAACCAAGTCAAATGTCCAAATGTGCCATTTTCCACGATAAACTGAATGCAATTGGTAAATTTTCAAGAGCATTAGTGTGGTGTAAGGACTGTTTATTTGTTGGTAGTGGTCCTATCTGGATAAAGGATGAGCGTTAAGTATTGGGGTTATTGAGATCCAGCTGAATGGCCTTCTAGTAAATTGAATAACACTTTCAGAAATGGCTTAATTAATATCCTTCTCAAAAAATCCCACAGTACCACTGCCATGTGACTTGATTTTTTACATCACAGGAAAATTTTTATGTCACAAGGTATTTATATAGTTTTTTATTGGATGGAATACAACTTTAGAATTTTCCATTTGAGAGACAGTTGCTGTGTCGTTATTTGCATAGTTCAGCAGGGAGGATTATTGACTACTTGCAAAGTAAAAACTCAGAGAGGAAACGAGTGGATAAATTAAATTGCAAGGGTGACAGAGGATCAAGCAATGTGATGTTTGTAGCAAGGAATACCTATATGATTAATTAAAATGGAACCAATGTTATGCCTTATTTTTAATTAAGTTAATACATTGTATAATCTAATCTATTTTCTTTGTGATGTTTTGCTGCAGGTCAAAACTAGAACAAGTTACTGTTTTTTCAAGTGAATACATTACATTCAGGGAAGAAAAGTGAGCAGCTACCACGGTACATTTGAAATTCTTTTGTGTTTTATGACTAGTAATGTCAGTAGACAAAAATCTGTGAGTTCATTCTTTCAGAGACTCAAAAAGAATAAATATGATAAATATTTTTCCTGTGAATGTCCCTATATGGTTCAAGCAATCCTCATTATTTTTTTTTCTCTTTTAAAAACCTTTTTACAATCAATAACCTGAATAATTTTGGAGAGTTATTGCCGCTGAGAAGACTTTGGAGAGTCTTTTCACCATTTTGTATTAGATGAAAATAATCTTGCAGTGAAATGCAAGTGTGCTAAAAATTGACATTTTTAATCTTTATCTGGAACATTCAGAACATAGATGTTTCTACTTACATTTGTAGTGTAATTATACTACATACTATTTTGGTAAATTATTTACTCTTCAAATTTTTAGTTGATTAAGTGTTTCATTTTCCCAATAGATTTCTTCTTATTAGAACAATCCAAGGTCACATTTCCTCATTCTATATGTATGTATAACAATTCCATTATTCAGGTACTAAATAAAATGTCTGCTGTACCATGTACTGTTCTTTTTTCATAACGCAGTAGATGAGCCTGAAGGCAATGAACCTGGCTGTGGAGGTGCTTATTTGTTGGGAGGGTGCTTTTCTGGATCGATGATGAGCACAACTGTCTGAGGATGCTGAGGGACTCATTCCAGATGTCAATCTGAGGTCCAGATGAATAACCCTCTAATAGGACAAATAAGACTCTCAGAGCCTGGCTCTATTTGGTGACCCCTTAGTAATAATATGCCACTGTTTGCATGCTTTTTTTTTCTTTTTCTAAGGAAAAAGCATTAGTGTACTATTTCGTAAGTCAGTATGCACCTTTATAATCAGTGATCCATTTTGCTTCATTTCGCTCAACTTTGAACAGAGTCATAAATTGATACTTGTATTTAGGAAATATGTTCTTGAGTGAAAAATGAGAAAATGGAAAAGATTGAATTAAGAAGGGGACAAGCAACTGAAAGTCTCATTAGTGTTGGACTAAAAGAAGGGAACACTGCATGCTTATATTAAGTAGTGGTAATGGAACCATATTTTAGTTCTTTAATTTACTATTAAATATTTTCTGAGACTCTCTCTCTTTGTCTTTCTTTCTGTCATGTTTTGCTGATACAGAAGGACTGGAATCAGGTCTTCCACTTCAGAGGATAGGGGTGAGTAGCTCTTTGATATTCTTCTATCATATGCTCTGTGCCAGGTCCTGAGGTCTCTGTGCTGGTCGTTTTAGAGGCTTATTTGAGAATATTTTGATACGTCCTTTTCCTCATTGAGATCCTCACCAACATCACTTACATTATTGAATCCTTATCATTCCTTCGATTATTTTTAACTCTTTTCTGCTTTGATGGAAAAAATGCACAATTTTAGAGAATTTTTGGCAACTTAATATTGGATCAAAAAATTATTGTAGTAAAATCCAAATGTGTCCAAATATCAGATTTTGGTCATCTGTTAAAGCATTGGGATGTCAGGATAGAGACTCCACGAGTCATAGGCCTTTGTGGTCATACTGCGTGATATTTTTGTTCCTACTTTAATCTTTGTGGATTTGCATAAATTAGTTGTTTCTCATTTTTGCAGCATGGAACGCTGTATATGAAATTTTGTTAGATCTCTTCAAGACCATGAAGTTTTTACACAATAGAATTTCAAAAGCAATATTGTTTTGAAACACAAAATAGTTCAATTTTTAATACTGTGTCGGGCTAAAGAAGATATTATGTTAGAGGTATCAAATGGAGAATTATGAAATGTCATATATGTTATAATTATTTCTTACTAAAACTTGAAATGCATCACCAAAAAGAGTGGTTCACCAAGCTATGTTGAAGATTACATTACCTGGGACTTTTGAGATTAATGCCCTAAGGATAGATAAACTTTTTTCTTAACAGAGTTCTGTCACAAATTCTATGAAGTGGTACTTATATTTGTGTATATTATACATTATTTGTTTATTCATATTTATTCTCTAGAACCATAGAAGATAATTCTAAAGAGCTGAGTAATAGAAAATCAATCAAAAAGGAGATTGGCTTAGCCAGATATTTAAATAAACCACAGTCATTAACATATGAATAGCAGGAACAATGGGGCATGTTTTTGCTTAAAAAGTGCGTCCTCACAAACCCTTATTTGCATATTTGTTACTATTAAATTTTCAAAGCCATGAAATCTGAGCATTGAAAGTCATGTGGGAAATAAGGCACCTGGGTTGTTTCTGTGCTTGTAATATTTGTATCTTTTCCCGTGCCTGGATTAGTTGCTGTGTTTGGGTGGCAAATTTATTAAGCTCTGCGATTATTGTGCATGTTTTTTTTTATTCTGAAACCAGTTTTTATTTTTATTGCAATATAATTGACACATAACATTATATTAGTTTCAGGTACATAGCATAATGATTCAATATAATGCATAGATTGTGAAATAATCACCACAGTAAGTCTAGTTAACATTCATCACCACACTTATACATTTGTTTCTTGTGATGAGAACTTTTAAGATCTGCTCTGTTAGCAACTTTCAGATATACAGCATCCTCTTTTCTACACATATATTTCAATAGAAAGTTTAAAATTTCCCATCAAAATAGTCCAGATACTAGCTAGTACATTTTCTAGGAATATTGTCTAGCAAATAATGTATTACTTGAGGACTAATGATTGATGTCTTTAGGACAAGTCAAGAGGTTCTCTTTTAAACACAGACATTTCAGTAAATCAAACACTGCAGTAGCATTTAACACTGACAGCCATACCAAGATAGCTTTTGTTTTCAATCTCTTAAATACTTATTATTTTCAAAGCAAAATTTGTAGACAAAGGTTCAGATGTTCAAAAAGACCCAGAGTTTAGATAAATTATATAAGGTTTTATTTATTATAATAGTTTATATTCTGATAATTAGTGTAAGAATGACAATGAGAGGGTAAAATTGATTACAATGATTTTAAAAGATTGTTAACATGAAATTAATCAAAGTAGCTTCCCTAGTAGGAATTTTTAAGATTCAGTACTGTGTTTCTTTCCAGATAATTTGAGCAAATCCATATTTGGTATATGGATTTTTTTTTCTTTGCATTTCTTTGTCTTTAGTGCTGACAATGCATGCTTGAGAGTGAACAGATAAGAAAATAAAGCCATAAGTTATGGTGTCAGGTTTAAGTAGCAGATTAATGACAATTTTAATCTAGAGGCAAATCTTGAAAATTATTGTCATTTCATTGAAAGGTCAAATAACTACTGATACACACACTTTTATTTTGCTCCAAACACCTTACAAACATTGTATGGCTCATTTAAATGAGAGCCTAGGCGTGTGTTTATGTATGTGTAAGTGTGTTTGTGAACTTGACACATAGAAACCAGAACATCTGGTTGCCAATGTTCTTTGCATATATATAAGGTTAGGGTCATGTTGACTCAGACCTACACATCAAACATGGCTCACCTAACTCTGGGATATGTCCCCAGGTCAAGCATTTCCAATAAACATAGCAAATTAAAGTCCCCTTGCAATTAATATTCACAATTAACTTATGTCAGTATTTTTTATGTATACCATCTGTGTGAAGATAAATCCAAAGTCGTTTCTCCAGGCCAGACTTAGTATGCAGTAAACTCATTATTTACTTACATACTTACAAAAAGTGATAAGCAGAGTGAGAGACTGTGGCCAAGTGGACGTGATGGAGTAGAGGCTGGAGTATAAATTAATGATGCACTTGGTTTGGCTACGCATATCCAAGAGAAAATTGGGAAAACACATATAGCAGGAAAGCACTGATGTGACTCCTTTACCTAGAGAGTTTAGCTAACTTTTTGTGGAATAGAAATATGGGTTGTTGTCCCTAAATAGAAAATAATAATGGAGACAGAAAATTAAAGAAAAAATTAGTGCAGATTGAGTAAAACTGTAGATCTAGTGATGTACTCAGTAGATCGGCAATTGGCAGTGAATACTGTTACAACGTGGGAAATACTGCTGGGGAGAGTAAGGAAAGACAAAGTTGCTAAAAGCAGCTTTCTATAGGATGTTATTCTGGTGTTGAGTGCTTTTGCTCCAAAAAAATCTAAGTGGTAAATCTTGAAAATTGATTTCTGCCACATTATTTGGTTCTAATTTTTACATGTGTTGACATGCCATCGTCCAAACTGTGCCATCCCCATAGAGAGACGTGGTTGTGCAGAAGTTTATGCCGTTGCCATATTGCCAGCTTCAGTAAATGAGCTGATGCATTTACTGTTTTGTCAATACAATAACACACCTGTAGGAATGTAACCCAGTTACAGAAATGCTAATTTGTCTAGAGTTGCCTTACCAAAATCAATGGTAAATATACTTATCTGAGGATTCCAGGAGATTATTTCCACATACTAATCGTAGATTCAAGCTGAATGTCTTTTTTTAGGAGGCGAAGACTTTCAAAATTGGGTCAATGTGGTCACCTCCTCAGTAATTTCACAATGCCTCTATGCACATGGCTTTCCATTCTCTCATCAAGTTGCACTTTCATGATAGCTTTGTTAGACAGACTTCACATTAAAGAGGGGTCTGGTGTTTCATTTCTTCTAAATTGTTTGTTGTTAACCATGAACAAGTATTTAAGTAAAAACTTAAATACAGAAACACATATAGAAATAACTTTAAAAAGTGGTCAAATAGCTATAAAGTGGATTATTAGTGTCAGTAACACTGGGAAATTATAAGGGAACATAGGACATTTAGATGTTACATAATGTCAATTGGACCAAATTGTGGTTTCATTATGATTACCATTTATATGTTTTCTCAATTGGTATTTACTTTTTTTGGACAAATTTTTTTTTTTGCGCACATAAAATAGCTATCACTAGGAACAGGACAGCAAGAACAGAAATAAGAAGTTCCCTGTGTCTTCCGGAATTCTTAGTATGATGAGAGGGCCATACATTTGTCTTAATAAATTTAAAACAGTTAAATTAATATAAACCGTGTTTACACAGTTTCCTGTGCTATACAGAAGAAATTTGTTTTTCATCTATTTTTCTACATAATAGCTAATATTTGTAAATTTCTTACTCCCAGATCTATCCCTTCCCACCCCCATCTCCCAGTAACCATAAGATTGTTTACTATGTCTGCTAGTCTGTTTCTGTTTCATAGATGAGTTCTTTAGTCTTCTTTATTCGTTTTTTAGATTCCACATATGAATGATATCACGTGGTATTTTTCTTTCTCTTTCTGGCTTACTTTACTTAGAGTGATGATCTCCATGTCCATCCATGTTGCTGCAAATGGCTGAGTAATATTCCATTGTATAAATATACCACAGCTTCTTTATCCAGTCATCTGTTGATGGACATTTAGGTTTGTTTCCATGTCTTGGCTGTTGCATACAGTGCTGCTATGAACATTGGGGTGCTTGTATCTTTTCCAATTAGAGTTCCCTCTAGGTGTATGACCAGGAGTGGGATTGTTGGATCATATGATAAGTCTATTTTTAGTTTTTGGAGGAATCTCCATACTGTTTTCCACAGTGACTGCACCAAACTACATTCCCATTGGCAGTGTAGGAGGGTCCCCTTTTCTCCACAGCCTCTCCAGCATTTATCGTTTGTGGACTTTTGAATGATGGTCATTCTGACCTCATTGAAGTTTTGATTTGCATTTCTCTGATAGTTAGTGATATTGAGCACTTTTTCATGTGCCTATTGGCTATTTTGTATGCCTTCACTGCATAATTGCTTATTTTAGGCCTTCTGCCCATTTTTAGATGGGGTTGTTCTTTTTTTGTTATTAGGTTGTATGAGCTGTTTATATATTCTGGAAATTAAACCTTTGTCAGTCACATCACTTGAAAATGTTTTTGCCCGTTCTGTAAGCTGTCATTTTGTTTTGCTTCTGGTTTCCTTTGCTGTACAAAAGCTTGTAAGTTTAATCAGGTCCCATTTGTTAATTTTTGCTTTTATTTCTATTGCCTGGGAGACTGCCCTAGGAGATAAATACCTGCAGCTAGAAAGAGCTGCACAGTTACACTGAACAGAATGGATGTGGGTTTCCTAACTCAGGTCACGAGTGTGGAGCCCGCAGTGGACCTTGTAAGAGAAGAGCCCCGTCAGCAGTGACCTGTCGCTCTCGGCCTGCGCACAGCCATGGTTCCCACTTGGGGCCTCAGACACAGGGATTTCCTGTGTCTTTAAAATGGTTTAAAAATCATCTTTGACTTGGCTTTTGCTCTAA